TTTTCTTTCCCTCCCACGTACCTCCCATCCTTCCTTCCTTCCCTCCTTCCTACCCTCCTCCTACCCTCCGTCTCTCGCTCAGTCACTTCATTTACCCTCCACCCACCGACCCTCCCTCCCTCGCCAAATGACCTAGTGAAAGTAGGACTCGCTGCGATTTACGTCATAGATTAATCAATAGACGTGGTGCTTCCATTGCCTTCCCTCTGTCCATAGTGATGTCTCTCTGTCCCAGCTGAACCCTCCTGTCTGTCTATATTGTGTGTTTGTTTGTGTTGCTTGATTATATAACAGAAGGGCGGACGCATTTCTGGGGAGTGTCGGCCCTAAGATTAATACATGAGAGAGAGAGAGAGAGAGAGAGAGAGAGAGAGAGGTGAAAATCAAGAATATAAATAAACAATAAACAAGTGAGTAGTAAACAATAAAGAGATAAACAAAGGAAAACAATAGAGTAAGAATAAAACAAACACACACACACACACCTGTTGACATTCTCACCTGACACACACTATACAGCTCCTACCTGACTCTTACCTGTATTATTATTATTATTATTATTATTATTATTATTATTATTATTATTATTATTATTATTATTATTATTATTATTATTATTATTGTTATTGTTATTATTATTATTATTATTATTATTATTATTGTTATTATTGTTATTATTGTTATTATTATTATTATTATTATTATTATTACGTATATGCTTGTGATTGATCAGTGTTTGTCTGTAAGTAGGGGAGGTGAGGGAGAGGGGAGGGGAAGGGGAGGTGAGGGAGAGGGGAGGTGAGGGAGAGGGGAGGGGAAGGGGAGGTGAGGGAGAGGAGTGAGGGCTGGTGTTGTGGATAAGGGCATTAAGAGACAGCTTGACACAGAGCCATTTTCCCTCCTCCCTCCTCTTCTTCTTCCTCTCCTTCTTCCTCTCCTTCTTCCTCTCCTTCTTCCTCTCCCCCTTCTCCACAGACAGACAGACAGACAGACGTTAATATATATATATATAACTTATATCTTAGTCAATATCCCTGGAGCACCATATTAAGAGTTCACTTGAGTCTAGGGATGACACCACACACCTGTCCCCGCAAGTGTGTAAGGTAAAATCAACACCTGTGTGACACCTGGTATGACACACTCTCTCATGACTGTGCTGGTCGTTGAGTGCATGACAGTCTGACCTTTAACTGTAGTGTGTGTGTGTGTGTGTGTGTGTGTGTGTGTGTGTGTGTTACAGTACAATACTTACATGAGTTTTTTACTAACACATTTACACTGTTATACGCACACAGACACACACACACACACACACACACACGGGTTCACATTAATCGACTCGTGTATACCCGATGATTTGTGTTCGATCTTTGGGGGTCGAATCCTAATCCATATTCATTGTCTGGTTCATATTTTTTACATCTGGCTGGGGTTTCGAACTTCAATTTGGATTCATAGCATTTAACTCGGATTCATAGTTGACGAACGCATACAAATACAGTATTTATATCCAGTGCGGCTTAGTCAGGGCCATGTCCGTTCGGCCATTTGTCCGTTCGGTCTATTGTCCGTTCGGTCTATTGTCCGTTCGGCCATTTGTCCGTTCGGCCAAATGTTAGTCGGCTCGATGTCCGTCGGCCAAATGTCCTTCGGCCATCTGTCCGGCCACGGTGTATCCATAGGTAGTTCTTCTTCCCCCTCCTCTCCACTCCCTGTCATTCTCTTCTTCCCTCTCCTACCCTCCTCCTCCTCTCTCTCACCCCCCTCTCCCTCCACCTCCTCCCGTCTTCACCTACTCCTCCTTCTCTTGGTATCAAGTGACGCCATAACACTTGGCTGAACTTCTAATGGCCTCTAGTTAGTGGCCTCAAGTTTATTGCGTTTAGTTAATGGCCTGTAGTTAATGGCCTCTAGTTAGTGGCCTGTAGTTAATGGCCTCTAGTTAATGGTGTCTTCTTAATGGGCAAAATTACTTCACACCAGGAAGGTAATGGATTATATTAACAACAACACGTTGAGTCACCTGGGAGCAGCAATGTAATTGGATTATAATTATTTATTCACTCAATCACCTGTGTGTGTGTGTGTGTAATGATGATGATAATAATAATAATAATAATAATAATAATAATAATAATAATAATAATTAACGGTTTATTAAGATAACATGGCAGCCCGAAAGCTGAAAATATACAATGAACAGAGATGATATGTTACATATATGTGTAGAATGGCATGTGCATTAGGCTATTAGCTAGTATTTATACCCCAGAATACAGCCTTACATAGTATAATATATGCGCCAGAATATAGCCCATTCTAGCATATATGCGGGAGTATATAGCGGCTCTGGGCTATATAATCGATATAATCTTTGGCGTATAATCTGGCGGGCCAATATTTTTGTTGGCTTTATTTTACGACCGTCAGATAATATTTTAAGAGAGGTGTGGATGGGTGTGGATGTCGTGTACCCGCCTCCCTCACGGTACCTACCTGTCTGTACCACCTCTCACGGTACCTACCACCTCTGCCACCACCTCTCACGGTACCTACCACCTCTGCCACCACCTCCTCCTTTTTCCCAGAGATGCTGTGTGTTAGAGAGGTGCGGACAGTGAGGCGAGTCGTACGATCAACCCCTTGTGTCCCTGCAGTGAAGACATTAAATAAAATGATAAGATAAGATATAATGTATTGTGTATTTCAGTGTAGTGACACAGTGTTATAGAGGATTTATGATAGTGTTATGTAGGTTTTTGTAATGCTGTACCAAGGAGTTCTAGAGGTTGAACTTGTGTGTTTTGGTGAGTTTGTCCCTCCAGTTAACGTGGTTTTCTCTGGACAAGTGATTACATATCCCAGTATAGACAAGATCACCAAAATATTAACCCGCTATATCTCACCGGGCACCATTTCACTACCCATCACCAGGCACACTATACACATATACAATATACAAACAGATATACTCACAATATACTCTAACTAATGACATTGTGAGGACATTAATCGCCATAAAATGTGGTCATGGTAACCTATCATCGTGTCCTATATGTAAACAAACCTCATTACTATTATCTTCTTATGTCATCTTCCCCGCTCTGCCTTTCGCTACCAACAACTTTTTGGAGCTTCTAAACTTGGAAAAATTATCTTCCCCCCTCCCCTGATACGAGAGGGACCATTGGTATAAAGTATTTAACAAGTGACTGTGTTTCCCTCGAGTCTCTGCGTCAGGATTTGGTGGTATAGCGAGTAATGGCGACGTATTATTTGTGAAATTCGTGATGCTGACTCTAGCTGCGTACTATAGAACTGTACCGGATGTGATGATAAAGAATTAGGGGGATTAACACACACACACACACACACACACACACACACACACTGAGGACCCTAGTGACTAACCAACATCTGGTCAATAATAGGTCACGTCATAGATCTGATAAACTTAACTTTGCTTTGGTTAGGTTAGGTTTGGTTTATTTTGCTTCAAGTGTTAATTAGTAACGCTCTAGATATATTTTAACCCCATCGCGAGGTCAAGTTGGTTGGGCGTTATTTTGCTAGTTATCGTGGCGTTATTGGGCTTGTTATCCTGGTGTTATTTTGCTTGTTATCCTGGTGTTATTTTGCTAGTTATGGTGTTATTTTGCTAGTTATGGTGTTATTTTGCTTGTTATCCTGGTGTTATTTTGCTAGTTATGGTGTTATTTTGCTTGTTATCCTGGTGTTATTTTGCTAGTTATGGTGTTATTTTGCTAGTTATCATGGTGTTATTTTGCTAGTTATGGTGTTATTTTGCTTGTTATCCTGGTGTTATTTTGCTAGTTATCATGGTGTTATTTTGCTAGTTATGGTGTTATTTTGCTAGTTGGTCGAGGTGTTATTGTACTGAGCCCGTTCACCAACCCCATCAGGTCCCCGGGCTAAGCTTAACCTTCCCACCTAACCTCACCATGATTGTTGTTCCATAACTGGTGGGAAACAACACAAAGGAAGTAATGGTTTATGTTCACACGAGGCTGATGAACCAAAGACACTTACTGAGAATTACAGCTGTGTAAACATCTGCTCAGGGACATATTAACTTTTGTTAGTCTGTTTGTATATTAGTCTCAGTCGTAATTACGTATTCATTTTTATTTATTTTTTTAGATATATTAATGTGCTTATTTTTTTATTGATTGTTTAAAGTCCTTGTGGATTTTATACTCGTTTGAGATTGAAATTTAATAAATGTTAATGATAAAATTGTGGTACTGTGTGGAGGTTAGGTTTTTGGTGTTATTATGGGTATTTAAAAACAGTCAGAATTTTTTTACTTTAAAGGATGAATATTTTTTGATGGAATAGACGTGCTCCTATTGGCTGATACTTGAGAGATTACAAACAAGACTTGTCCCTATTGGCTGACGCTAATGAGATCACAAAAAAAGAGATGTGTCCCCACTGGCTGACGCTAATGAGATCACAAACAAGACGTGTCCTAATTGACTTCAAAAAAAAGGTTGGACGGATATATTAGCGATAGGAGTTAGGTGCAAACGGGACTGCCCAGAATAGGCCTATAGGCACGCTGCAATTTCCTCCATTCTTTTGTTCTTATGTGTTGACCCTCAGTGTATGTTCATTACCCCTGGGCTTGTGTTTTCCGGCTCTGTAACTATTTCTCAGGAGGCGTTGCGTAGTGACCTAATATCCTCCACCATATGGCACAAAGACACATAGTGTGACGCATCGTGTGTAAACATATCTCAAGACACCTTCTGTATATTATGACGCGTTATCAGTAAACGTTGCTCATGACATCAGTGTAATGCAGACGATGGCATCTAAACCCCACTGATGTATCGAATGAACCACATTGGCTTTGGGTGGGTAAGGGTGAGCCAGGACCAGACAGCCAGTCGTAATGCACCGAGAGATAGTGAGAGTGTGGACAGGAAACCGTGATGATGATGATGATACTAATAAATATGACGTAGGTTAAGAGCGTCCATGGATAAGCCACTAGTTACCGCCGCCGCTCCTCTAGTTAACGGAGGACCTCCCTAGAGCGAAGGATACCCCTCGGTCTGGCAAGATCCCCATGAAGGATTATTTTGGAGGGTGCTGAGGGCGGGAGGGGAGGAAATTGCTGTTTACCTTCCATACATATATTACACTGGTGTCCTGAAGGCTGCCATAGCGACCGTCTCTCAAGGCAGTGCTGTGATAAGTCATTGTTTCGTGTCGACCCAATTCTTTCTACAGTAAACAGTTTTGAACATTGATAGTGAACTCTATTTCAACGGGGAATTGTGTATGTGTGAATGTGTGACGTGGACGTTTTAGGATGTTGTGAACGTCTTTAGTGAGAGAGGAACATTTCCTGGTGCGGATATCTTACAGTAATGCGGATTGGTGCGGATATCTTACAGTAATGCGGATTGGTGCGGATATCCTCTTGATAATGTGCGGATGATTGATACGTCGTCAGGTAACAGTGTAGGAAACCTGAAGACCGTGTAAATATATTTGTGTATACCTGTAGATGTATAGATGTGTGTGTATGTGTGTCAGTCTCATACAGGGGAGTACATCTTGTCATCCATGGCTTTACGCATTGGTTTATGTTAAGTGTATGCGTATAGCTCTGATAGTCGCGGGTGTGTAGGGTCGTGTGGTGGTGTGTAGCGTGACAGATGATGGTACATGGTGGTGGTGGTTCATGTAGTGGTGGTGGGTGTATACATAGAGATGAGATGGTATACATACAGTTTGGTGGTGGTATACATACAGCTGGTTACAGTACACATACAGATGGCGATACACAGGTGGTGAGTGTATAGATACAGGTGGTGGTGGTATACATATAGGTGATGGAGCTATACATACAGGTAGTTGAAGTATACATACAGGTAATTAATAGTACACGTACCGGTAGTTGGGGTATACAAACACTTGGTGATACACTTTCAGGTGGTGGAGGTGTAGTAACAGATGGTGCTGTTGGGTGTAGTTGTATCTCGTCTCTAAGATAACCAGCATCCCGTCTTGATAATCAGCTGTCCGACCTCCTCCTCCTTCACCGCCTTCGTCTAGACGTATCAGTATTTTCTGTGGGTAGCGACCTAGTTTCTGTGGGTAGTGACCTGTAATGACCTAGTTTCTGTGGTTAATGAACTGGCTTAACCTGCTGGACTTGTTCACGTTTTTCTGTGGACGTTGTGATGATGATTATGATGATGGTTATTGTTGTGATTGTGATGAAAAATTGTGGTGATTGTGACGGTTACAATGATGGTGATGATAATTATAATCACCATAATGATAAATATAACTTACGGTATGATAATGACTATAATTTACAAATAATAAACAAAACAATAATTTATATATTTTTGTTCCGTTTACAGCCACTCAATTATACGAAAGAAAAAGGAACAATAATTCTAGTCAGAGTTATAGACTTGAGGGAAAAAGACTATATATCTGGAGTGGGCGTGTGGTGGGCTGTGTCTCCTCTGTGGGCGTGTGAGGGCTCTGTGGGCGTGTGGGGGCTATGTAACGTCTGTGGGTGTGTGTCCCTCTTATGAACTAGTGATCCTTGGTCCGTTGTGGGTGTATCCTGTGTCCTTCGTGGGCGTGTGTGTTTCCCTTGGCGTGGGCGTGAATACCAGTTATAGAGAAGAAACAGACGACGGAGGGGTAAAGGGCCTTCTCAGCTACGGGCGCCATCATGGAGTACAACATTATGGATCTACTGGAGGGAAAGGTAATGGTGTCTGGCCTACAGGTGTTTTATACAGGTGTTATAATACATCTATTGTATCTATTGTATATCTACTGCGTCTACTTCATTTATTTTATTCATTGACTGGTGGTAGACTGACTGACTGATTGTCTTAACTCACTCCCTGACCACATACACACACATTAGGGTGCAGCAGTGAACCTCTGTACCAGTAAGTGTATATATATATATATATATATATATATATATATATATATATATATATATATATATATATATATATATATATATATATATATATATATATATAGTGTTAAGGGACGGTCAAGCTCTCTCTCTCTCTCTCTCTCTCTCTCTCTCTCTTTGTCAAGATACATAAGTCCTCTGGGGAAATCCAACACTAATTGCATCCTTCAAACTCTCAGTGTTCCAGCACCTTGAGTTCAACCATTGTGTTGGAGGGAGCGAACTGCCCCCAGCGCCTCCCGTTACGTGTCGCCCGAGTGAAGGCAATTGCAAGCGAATAGTTCTTGTGAAAGCCGCTTCCTGTTCTTGTCCAAACAATGTCTGTGTTTTTACAAGAGGAATTTCACCCCTCCAGCAAGATTAATTTTTTCTTAATCATGTATTTTGAAGAGAAGAAATCGTGTTATCAGAATCTAATCTAACTTAACCTTATCCAATGTTAACGTAATACACTGTAACTCAACCTAACCTTATCCAATGTTAACTGAATGCAATGAAACTCAATTTAACCTAATCTAATCCATGTTATCTTAATGCACTGTAACGTTAACTTAATGCAATAAAACTCGAACACTAACCTAACCTAACCTCACTGGCTCTAAACAAAGGCAGACAGAGAGCTCCGGTTGGTCTCCATCACCGTGAAAATATTTAGAACTATAATCTACACAATGGTCTTAAGAAAAGGAGACATTTTACACCACTCACTGACGACATATTGTACCCCCTCACCCCCACCTCCTACCCCTCACCCCCACCCCTACCCCCACCCCCCTCACCCTACCCCACCCCTACCCCCACCCCTAACCTCACCCCTACCCCCACCACAACCCCACCCCTATCCCCACCCCCTACCCCCCCCCTATCCCCACCCCTATCCCCACCCCTACCCCCACCCCCTACCGAAACCCGACCCTTGGTAACCACTTCAACACACTGCCTAAGATGATCCAAGACTCAATATTCTTGTTTGTCGTTTTTACCTAATAACTATAACCGCTATTTAAATTTTACCTTTAATTACACACGAGTCCTCAATAAAGCAGGTGTTTGATGTATAAAGGAGTTAATTAGTCTCTTGTGATGTATATATGTGACCAGGAGTCTTATATATATATATATATATATATATATATATATATATATATATATATATATATATATATATATATATATATATATATATATATATATATGACTGTCTACATGAGAATATTCGTCATTGGGTTTTATATGACTTACTGAATATACGCAGGTAGTAATATGACGTAAATATGTACACCTATATTGATATATGCATGAATAATATTTTTCACTCTTAATTTTGTAGTTTTCTTTGTTGAATTATTTAGTTCTTGAGCTGGTTAATTTTTTATTGTTATTTTTATATATGGGTTAAAGCCTTTGTCCCAACTGTACGACCTCTGGCTGTGTACTGTAACTAGGTCTTCTCTAATAATAATAATAATAATAATAATTGACGGTTTATTGAAAACGTTCTGCAGCCCGAAGGCTGAAAATATACATTGGACATAATGACTTATTACATACATTGGTGGTTTAACAAAAGCCATCATTAGAGAAAGGTAAAGGAACATACAGTGAACATACAGATTATTGTAGGTGTTGAACAGCAAACACGTAGTGTAGTAACTCCCTCCCAGATGGTGTTAGGAGGGACCTCACGTGGTGTAGTAGTTCCCTCACAGATGGTGTTATGAGGGGCCTCACGTGGTGTAGTAATTCCCTCACAGATGGTGTTATGAGGGGCCTCACGTGGTGTAGTAGTTCCCTCACAGATGGTGTTATGAGGGGCCTCACGTGGTGTAGTAATTCCCTCACAGATGGTGTTATATGAGTGAGGTGTGGTCCCAGGCCTTCCTATCGTAGACGGATTAACACATCGCTGGTTGTTGTTGGGTCTCACGGGCCGTTATCACTGGGTACCTGGGACCTCACTGTGTGAAGGTTAACTTGGGTACGACTGTTACTGTTGAGTTGTTCTCACTGACTTAAGCACTGTTCACCACTGTTCACCTCTGTTTAACACTGGTCCATTCCTTTCCTAAATGAAATTGTAACTTCTGGCGAGAACTTGTTGATATTCCGGTGGGGAGGAGGGTTCAGGGGAGGGAGTTGGTAGGGGCCAACTTAACAGTTGACCTGGCTGCTCCGAGAGGAGCGCCAGGTACGTCGTGACCCTTCGGTGGTCAAGGATGTGTGTGTGTGTGTGTGTGTGTGTGTGTTAGAGAGAGAGATTATTATCATTCACGTACGCTTACACACACACACGTACGTTCCAGGAAAGGTTTCATCACACTGAGCAAGTATTGATAAAGTGACGCATAAATTAAGAATATAATGTCATCGTTGTCTTGGCTCCGTTTCCTGTCCATAACAATGTAAACAGAGGCTTTGTTTACCATGTATCAACTGTGTGCGTCAGCTTCCTATACGGCATATAATATCTCTCTCTCTCTCTCTCTCTCTCTCTCTCTCTCTCTCTCTCTCTCAACACCAGTATTACCTTCATATAAAACTATCAAAAGCATACTATATAGAATCTTAACACCAAAATTTTTTCAGGCTTTTTTCGAAAAACAAAAGAAACCTCGCACTTTTTATCCCACGTTTATACAGAGCATCAAAGTCCCTGTTGGCCTGACCATAAAAGTTAAAAGGATTTGTTCTAAGTTACGTGGAGAAGAATGTAAAGTGTTGGATCACAGAGTCAATAATGCATGCTTACTACTCAAACCTTCTCGAGAATACCTGGCACAAAGGCTTAAAGGAGAAGGGAGAAAGTGGCAGGTGTTTGAGCAGGTGTAGAAGGGGATATGTATTTGAACAGGTGCAGAGAGACATAATTCAACAGGTGTAAAGATAGACATATAATTCAACAGGTGTAATAGACATATATTTAATCAGGTGTAAGAAACATAATTCAAAAGGTGTAAGAGACATATAATTCAATATAATTCAACAGGTGTAAGAGACATACATTTAAACAGGTGTGCAATAGACAGATATTTAAACAGGTGTAAGATACATATAGTTCAACAGGTAATGATATTGAAACAGTTTATTCAACCTGAAGAACACAGATACAGAGTCGATTAAAAAATCATAATATTAACATGACTGAGCCAATTGAGAGCCCGAGTTCTCCTGTAGGCACCTGATATATACTATACATATATCTGAAGGAAGTATTATGTAACATTTAGTATCATCGGGAATAGTACACATAGCATGGTGGTAGTAAGAACATATCAGAATGTTACCACGGTTATCACTCCTTATTTATTTTATTTATTTTTATTTTATTTTTTACATTTATATTATAAGTACGTATATACATAAGTTACAGTGGAAAGACATATATTTGAACAGGTGTAAGAGACATATTTCAACAGTTGTGTGACTTGTGGCGATGTTTATATTATTTTAATGGGCTCTGGTGTTTACTCAAGGTAATATTGTCGTAAAGTTATATAAATCCTCTGAAAAAATTTATATAAAAGAAAAAAATCTTAGGGTGAAACGTTTATAGGTCAGGTCCTATGATGAAATATTCACCGTTCAAACACCCGAGATCTCCTTAGCTTGGGGGGGTGGGGGAGGGAGGGAGGGAGGGAGGGTGACGTAATTTTGTCTTTTGTCTCACTTGGTCTCTCTCTCTCTCCCTCGATTTATTTTTTCGCTATTATTATTATTAGTAGTAGTAGTAGTATTGATTTTTGTTGTTGTTGTTTGCTGTTGTCGTTAGTGTTAGTGTTTTTTTTTTACCTGGCCAAAACTCTCCAGGTAAACTAACGAGACAACATCTACCTGTGTATCAGCGTGTCTCGTCAATGCTGAAATCCTTGAGTAACATCTGTATCAAATTTACGTTGGCTTATGACGTCGTGATTCCGGGTCAAGATCGGCTTACGGTTCGTGTTAGGGAACCAAAGGGAACTCGTCTGCCTTTGAACGGTTATACCTAAGAGGTTTGTGATCAGTACACGGCAGCGGGTCTAACGGCACCTTAGATTCTTTTTGCTCCAGTTTGGATTATTTTTTCATGCGTTCTCGATTTTTTTCTTTTTAGGATGACACGTGTAGTAGTAGTAGTAGGTAATATAATGGTGGCGAAGGTATGGTTATTGGGGGAGGCTGGAGGCCATTTTAAAAAAAAATTATTATTATTATTATTATTATTTCTTTTTTACACTTTTACTCAGACATTCAATCGTATTCTCAACATAACATAACACAACACCATTTACATACAATGAGTCTTTTTTACAATTCACTGTGTATACTGGAGGATTCAAGGTCGTGTGTTGTTACTTGGAGGAAAAATTAGTCTTTAAGGAGATGGTAGAATAATGCATTAGGTGATATTTATTCATTTAAGTCCGTTCAGTGTCTCTGTTTTGCTTTCTACTCTCTTTATACCCATGTTACGTTATAGAGATCTTACATGATTTTCTATGTACATCTAGTAACCTAATTTTCAATATTTGTTTACAAAATCCCGTTTAATGTTTCTTTTACTGTCTATATGAAGAAAGAATTTAAACAAACAACTCCATTACTCTTTGTAGCAATGACGCGTACTATATTAACATACAATAGCTATTAAAATTATATCCCTTAACACCCCCCACCCCCCTTGTGTTGTTGTCTCAATAGCTCTACACTACACTGAATCTCTTTCTAAATTAATTAATGCTCTAATGGTGCCCTTTGATGTTTATGTCGACGTTCCATTATGTTCTTCCTTGTCC